CTGAAAATATGACATGCCTGAAAATATGACAATGATGAATGCATTGCGTGAAAATAGCATTACTAAGTTTAGGTTAAATTTCTTAAATAGCTTGTAGAGACATTAAGATTTTTTTGAAAGCAGAAGCTGTGAAAAAATGAGTAAAGCCTTCGCCGGGAATCGAACTATGGATCTCTCGAATACGCGGTCAGCATGCAGACCACTACACCACGAAGGCACGTTAAAAAGGCGGGAGAAATATCTTATATATCCCCCTTTTAAAGGGCGACTGGGGTTTTAGGGGACCCAATCGCCAAATCCTGGTTGTGGAGAATCATCATCCACCGCCCTTTTAGTTCGGGCGCCACTGTAGAGCTATTATGTTATTTGGAAGCAAGAGAAGTGAAAAATGAGCAATGCCTTCTCCGGGAATCGAGTCGCGGACCTCTGGAATAGGCGCCCAACATGCGGACCACGAAGGCACGCTAAGAAGGCGGGAGAAATACCTTATAAGCTATTCAGAAACTAGAGCAACACAACTCAAACAAAACTTCATGTAGAAGATACGTTTTCTTTCCGATCCTTTATTTAATAAAGCAAAAACGCATAACCGGATACAAAGTCAACTAGTACTGAATCATATGAAAATAACTATTTCTATCGACTGGTTTTAAGCAATGAAACGGAAACTTTACGCAAATTATTTTAAAAATGAACGTCCTCCCCTCCTCAGTTGGTAATATATAAGAACTATAAAAACTTCGACCTATGTTAGAATTCCAACGAATAATTTAATGGATTTTTCGTGGTCTATACAAGTGTGGCTTGAATAAAAGACAGTTTTCAATTGAAAATTTTCCTTGAAGGCAGCCTGTTGTGTCGTTCGCTGTTTTCCACATAAACTAAATTAGATCCTACAATGAACCTGGCGAATTCTCGCACGGATGTGAATAACTACCAGCACTAAAAAAGGGTAAAAGTAACCCTTTATTAAATTCAAATAGATAAACAGAAAGGCACGATCTTCGAGCGTTACAATGTCTCCGTAGGATATAATTCAAGTCAAAAATCTCAAATAAGTAGTGCTGGAGTTAAGCCTAACAAGTTGGCTCACAAAAACCTAACAGGTGGGATGAAAATCAGAAATGGCCAAGGGGCTTACTAGCGTAACAGCGAAACAACGAAACGTGAGCTGGCTAGCAAAAACACACTCTGAATAAACTCAGAGATTCACCCGTTTAAATACGCACTTCACTTAACTTTAAATTTATATCCTGGCGAGAAAATATGAAGGGAAGTTGAGAAGTTCAGTAAAGGTATCAAACTTAAAATAAATTTGTTATGCAAAATAAGGGAAACCGTACAATCCTCCCCCTTAGGCATATAGACATCTTTTAGATTCTAATACAGAAAAGTGTGTTCTTTGATTTGGCGTTAAACTGGAACTTCTTAGTTTAGTGATGGAGGGCTATGTGATTTGTAGTACGTGTATCACATTCTTCAAACCGCTTTTAAATTTTGACTGCATTTTGAATTATTCGAATTTTAGTTTTCGTTAGCTGGCTGTCCCATCACTTCCAAGAAGAAGTATGCTTGGTACTATATATGTTACGTTAAAGCACTGAAATCTGGAGAATGTCGAATTTCACCGGTGAATGTCAACATTCACATAGTCTTTTGGTGAATGTCCGAAAATATTTTCCAAATACTCTTATTTCTGATTTACCGGTCAATGTCGACATTCACCATGTATTAATGGAGAATGTTGAACATATAACAATATCATATTTTCTTATCCGTAATTCAGTCGCGAATAAACGCACTTGAAACTTGAAATAAGAACTTAAGAACGTGAGAACCTAAAACACACAATACATTCAAAATGAGAAAGGAAAATAATAGAAGTTAAAAACTTACTTCATTATACAGTACGTTCTAAATGAGAAAATAAAATAACAGTCATAAAAAACTTAATTATGTGATTGAAATCTTATTTATTGCAACAACTTAAACTATTATGGCACTTTATGACCTCTCTTTTCGACTTTCACCAGAGCATATCTGTGATTGTCGACATACACCGGTGAGGGTCCGAATATACAAGAATGTAGTACAATATTCGATCTTTCACCGACGTATTTGGTGAATGTTGATATTCTCCGGTGAAAGTCGACATTCTCCAATTTCGGTCTTTCACGGTAACATATATACTCAATTCTTTTCAGGATTTAGTGCGAAAGGGTAAGCAAGCTGTAACTGATTGGTGTATGAATAAAGATTTAATTTGTTTTTGGTATCAATGTCAAAGTTTGTACGGAAGGTATGTGTTTGGTCTCGCCTAAAAGACCGACATAAAATATCGATCGATCAAGCATAAAAATTTTGTGTATGGGACTGTTATAACATCTAGATCTGCACCTCTTATATTCATAGGAATCGGCAATACCAAACATATTCCTGTTCCTATTACTTGGGGAAAGTTTTACACTCGTTATGAATAGATGAAATCATAAGAAGTTTGAATCCCATGCGACAAAAGTTGGTCGAGATATTTACCTTCAATCTATGCAATTTTTTATACTATTTTCAATTTCTTTTCAGAAATCGGTTAATCATGTTATAATAATTGGAGGAAATAAGTTTAAATGACGTACAGAAAAAATGTGTATAATTTAACCTGCGGGAAAGCGCGTGGGGTGTATCATACTCCAACCCTATATAAAAGTGGAATATTCCTAACTTGTGAAACTGAAATTCTGTGCTGCTTTCAGTAGCTGAGTTTCTAGTTGTGGTTGACTTTCAGAACCGCTTTTTCTTTGCCTGTGTGTTTCAGAAAAAGATTTATCGGTATTTTGTTGGAACTGGGGTATGACACACCTCACGCGCCTGTCCGTGTAAGTGTTTTTCTGACCGAATATTTAGTTCAGAAATTTATTTATAGAGTGTAACAATAAATATTTCTACTCGCAAGTGATTTTAAAGTACTTGACATTAAATTTTTAAAAATTTCTAACCGCATTATGGTAAAAAGAATGAGTCCCTATGAACTGGAGATGCAACGCATGTGAGATTTATTAGAAATTATTTGAAAGCGATGGAGATTGCGTTTCGGAAACTGAAGATGAAACGAAGAATATTTTCTACAATGTTTTGGTTTTGAAAAAAGATAAAATTAATTCCTGATGTTCCTAAAAAAGGAAAAACTGTTCTTAAGCTTTCAATATTATATAACGATCATACTGTAGATGATACTATTGGAGAAAATAAAGCGTCAGGAATTATACGTTTTAATAATATGCCTAAAGGAGCAGTGGATATGGGGGATGAAATGTCAACCAATTATTCAATTGCCAGAATACCAAGGAGGTGGCCAATGGTAATTTTCTTTCCTGCACTGAATGTTGCTGTAATAAATGCTTGAATTATATAACATTTAACTGCTAATCCACCAACCAGAAACAGAAGTCTGTTTTTGAAGGACTTAGCATTAATGAAATTAATGAAAAAAAGTATTGAACAAAGATCAGAGATTAATACTTTTCCAAGAAATTGACGTACTGCATGCAAAACAAAAGTAGACGTTTCGACGAAGAATTAAAACGAATACATGAAATTCGAAACAACTAAGTATGAAAGATGTGATAAATTTTTGGCCCTCGCGCCAAGGACAGAAGAACGTGAAAGCAATGTCTAAAATGTGAAAACATTCTGTGCCCAGTATGAATGAAAGTATGAAGAAATAAAATAAGCATGGTGTATTAGAGATGCAATGAAACTTAGAGGCATGATGTTTATTTTTTTATTATTTTCATTTATCTTAATTTTAACTGTAAAATTATTTTGGAAATTAATTTTTTGAAACCCAATTATTATTCACTTATTTATAATACACGAGAACAAAAAAAAAAAAAAAAAAAAAAAACAGTTTTAAAACTAAATAATACTATTTTTCTTGTATTTTAAATATTGGGGTATGTCGGTATGTGATACCCCACGCGCCCACTCTAGTAACTTTTCTTGGTGCGACTTCCGGCGGTTTAATAGGCCGTACAAAAGACTCATTTGGTGTCCACACCAGATTTTCTTTCTTCCTAAAATGTTGTAGAATACATTTCTATAATACAGGGTGGGACAGGGAAACTTCCTTATTTGAAACGCGCGCCATCTGGCGACATTTATTCCGAGAAGGGTGGGGTGGCGCTCATTGAAAAGAGCGGTATCTGAAGTTTTATGTCATGTACGTTTAGTACCGATCCTTTAGTGGACGAGAAAGGACAGCTCGTTGGCGTTCCTTGGTATAACAAACTGAGATCAACAACTGTTTTAGTGTTTGATGTATCCTTTTAGCTACTGATTAAAGAACTTTAAAAGCTCTGATGTGTGAAAGATCAACAATCACTGAAGAGTGTTTGCTGTAGATCTTGAACACGTTTGATCATTGTAAATTCCGTTTACTTTAAAATTCAAAACCAGATTTGAGATTAAAGTAAATTCGGGTTTCTTACTTTATAAACATGTGCGTATATTTAGATTTTGGTTTATAGTTAAAAGCAAAACCATTCTCTAAAAGCAATAAAACTGAAAGCTGAACTATTGTGTATAAAAGCCTTAAACGTCAATATTAGAAATGTTATAATACAAAAGCTAACTTTAAGTAATGATTTTATACTCGTATTATGAGAAAGATTTAAAGTTTAAGAATTTAATTCTTCAGGTTTTCATTAAAAACATTACTGTAAGAATGTTCTCTTAACGCTTATTAATTTAATACGGAAACTAACTAAATTTATTTCAATTGTCAAAAAGAAAACAAATTGATACCTATTCAAATAGTACATTATTATTTCAATTATTCTGTTGTTTAGTATTCTCCTCACACATTTTATTATTAAATAAAATGCGCAGTTGACTGTTTACAATACAAGAATTCTTTTGTATAAAGACTTTTTGCGTTAATCTATTATTCATTAATTTCATGAGATTTAACTTCAGATAGGAATGGAATGTCAACTGTTCAGCACCTTATGAAGCTTGTAAATGATATCGATCAGACTCCTTATTTATCTCCAATATCCATCAAACTAAGACAAAAACAAGAGAAAAAAACAAAGTGTAAGATGTAACATCATAGGTACAAAACAACAAGTAATGTATCAAACATGAGTACAAAACAAAACATCATTAATCATTTTCAATACGCTTGTATTTTTTGATAACTTAACCACCGGATTTAAAAAGATGCTTCTTTTATCTTTCGTAAATGTTAATTCTCCCATCCGTAAGTTTAAAGTTCTTTTCTCTTGCTTGTTCTTCCCGGCTGGCTTCGCGAATTTTCTTCGTCGACTTCTTCGTGCGTAACGTATACGCGAGGAATTATGGACTTCAGAAGAAGCTGAAATGGCAACTAGCGAGCCATATCTGTCTCGCCGACCTAGTTATTACGGTGCGTGTATTACTCTTATTTTATTTATTAATTTTAATATTCCATTTGATGAAGTAGCCATTTTACTTGTCTGCTTCTGACACAATAAGGAAATTATCAGACGATTGACAACTGGACCAGATCGAGAGCTTTTGAGACAATTTCAAAATACTTGTAAAAAGAACCCTGCTTTCGGCATCGTTAGATCGCCATTTAGAACAAGTGTCTGTTTCTTGGTGTATCTGTGTCTAATAAAGAATTTTAGTGGATTTGCGACAGCGGTTTCTTCTGAAATCATGGTTAAATTTTCGCGCGTACTTCCGACTGAGATTTGCAACTGCGCATTTTTGACGATACATATTCCGTATTGATAAAATGGCCTAATTAAAAATAATCAATATTTAACAGTACAGTAAGACCCCGCTTAACGCTGTTTCGTTTAGCGCTGTTTCGGTTTAGCGCTCTTTTATTTCAACCCGGGGATTCCACGAAATCGCTCGCAGCATACGGGGATTCCCCGAAATATTATGCAGCGATAGGTTTCAAATACATATCCGAAAGAGTGTACTTGTATTTCTTGTTTGTGCGGTATTGTACAGACATATTTTAAAGGGGTAAATGTGGAAGATGTCGAAGAACTAATTCAAGAAGCAGCGGCTAGTCTTTCTAATGATGAGCTCAAGGAATTAACTGAACAAGAAGAAAACAAAAATGTTGACAGCAGTGATTCAGAAGAAGCGCAAAAAGAACTTTCGATGGCGTTTGTAAAAAGGAGTTTGTCTACCATAACTGAAATAATGGATCAATTCATTGAAAATGATCCGAATTTTGACAGGAGCTCAAAAGTAAGGCGTGGTGTTAGAGATGCTCTATCCGTTTATGAAGAACTTTTAAGAGAACAACGCAAAAGTAAAAGGCAAACAACATTAGATGCTTTTGTCACAAAAAGGCAGAACACTGAAAACGCGGAAGGCTAACTAAAATATGACTGACTTAGAATTTATTTTGTTTTTTTTTTAAGAATATTCGTTTTCTTATTTATATTTTGTTTTTATTTTTGCAAGAAATAATAATGTGGTATTAATTTGGGCTTTAAGAAATAAATTTTTGGTTTTATTTTTATTAAAAAAACATACTTTTTAAATTTAATACCTAGCCAATTTCCTAGCCATCTTCCCCTAACCCCAATATTTACATGTAAAGATAGCCTCGTTTAGCGCTGTTTCGCATTACGCTCTACTTTGATGGAACGTATCCCCCGCGTTAAGCGGGGTCTTACTGTACTTGACACCACTAGAACAACTTCTCTGGACCTGAAGTCCAGAAAACGACTAAACAATGCAACATTTTTAAGCATTTTCAGAAATGGAGATTTAGACTGAATATCGTTTTTAGAATATTTTAGCAGGCACACTATACACAAACAAAACAATATTTCAACAGTCTTCTTACTTCCTTGTACGAAGTAAAGGAAGGATTGTAATCACGATAAATGTTAGGTATCACTTTTCAACGAAAATAGCCATTTTGACCGCTATCGAATGCAATTTAACGATATTTTGGCGTGACATCTGTACGTGAGGACAGAATAAATGACTTTGTTTTTCCCAAAACGAATTATAAAACTGATTTAAAATGGATTTAAAAAAGAGTTTTTCGTGAAGTCTGTACGTACGTATGTATGTATGTACCTAGCATAACTCAAAAACCAGTATCCTCAAAATATTGAAATTTTGTATAACATGTAGTTGTGCATCTACTTTTTTGGTTGCAATCGGCCGCACCAAAAGTATATTTATATCCATTCTGTGACTCGGCTCCGTGAGCTCATTTTTTTATTCTTATATGTTGGTAAATTGTGCATTTTGTGCTTTAAAAATAATTGAATTATGTTGTGCTTATGCTCCGGTTGAGGTTTTTGTGCTTTTAGCTAATCTGCATGTTATAATTGTAGAATTATCAACAATTTAAAAGTGGTTTAAGTGCGGCTGATTCTAATGTTTTATCATAGCAGCCATATTTGTTTACATTTGAAACTTATCAGACTAGTGAATAAATTCTTTCTGCACCTTTAGCGTCTTTTTGCCAAAATGGGACCAATAGGAAACTTTCAGTTTTGTGCACCGAAAAATCTGCCTTCTTGCCTGCTTACTGATTTTTTTTTTTTTTTTTTTTTTTTTTTTTTGCGTAGGAACCGTAATTTTAATTGTTAAAATTGTTCTCTGAATGGTTTTAACTGTATTGTGTTTTATGTTTTTCTATATCTTTCAATTTTTAATGAAAATATTTTGAGTTTTTATGTATTTTTAACTTGCCGCGAAGTGAGAACTGAATTACTTGAATGGGAATCGAAGAAATAAGTTTAAATGAATTGCATGGAAAATGCGTATAATTTAATATTCCGTACATGGAAGTGATGTTGTATACACATCAGGATATTTTAGAATGCATTTAGGAAAGAAATAATTATAAGCATATGAATAAGGTTGCAATAAGCATAGCAATCTGCAATAACAATCTGTTATCGTTGCAATAAACAATCTGTCCGACTATCGATAAGTTCTGACGCGCAGTTACTGTCTAGTACTTTTTTTTTATTTCGAATGGCAGATTACAACGAAAGTCGTAGACAGAACAAGCACAGATGAAGAGAACAAGAAAACTAAAAAAATAATCCGTAATGTAATCTGTAAATCTATTTTTTTGTCTCGCCTCCCAATATCTATTTCAGAGCGATCCATCATGACGTGAAGCAACGACTCATGTGAGGCATTCGTTTCCTCATGCAGGTTGCACAGTTTACAAATAAAGGTTGGGATAATGTTCATTCTATGCAGGTGTTTTAAAAGGCAATCATGGCCAGCAACAAGAGGTAAGAATGCAACAGATTTCTTTCTGGGACAAGTGGACTGAGTTATGGAAGCAAATTTTACTCAGGAGAAGCTGAAGTAAGACTCCACAATAGGTATTGATATGTCTTCAAGGGATCTATACTGAATGTAAAACTGATGCTCGATGGCGGTGTGTACCCAAACAGAGCCTTTTAATTTGGAATTTCACATTGTTTGTATCGCGGTTATCTTCCCTCTTTTTTTTTTAAGCGGGTGAAAGGATTACCATGGCCCGTGGTTGACCTCAATAAAGGGTCCACCTGTCTTTAATATTACACCAGCCTCATTTACATTTGATTTATCTCCACTTTCAGATCGCCTCTAAAGTTTTGATTCTTTTATCATTCTTTCTATTTTTTTTTTAATTTTAGGTTTTTAAAGACTACGAACAGGAAAGAAACAATTAATTTCATCAAAATTTCCGATCTACGGGAAGGATAATAACACCTATAAAATCAAAAGACAGAGATGGTAATTTTTTTCGGAAAGATGAAAAAAAAAAAAAGATAGTCTTTTCCGCAAATAAAAACAATACAAGAGGAAAAGGAATACTAGGCAGTTATTAATTATTAAAATGATATTTATAAATAAAAAGGTCTCGGAGAGCTACAAAACCCGGGACTAATTCAGAAGGTACCCATAATAAAAGGAATTATTTAAGAAAGAAAAAAAAAAAACTTCTGGTTAGAACCCATACTGTCAAAAGGTAAAACGCCCCACATATTTTGAAATTGTCAATTAGAAAGGAATAAAATGGAATGTCGCAACCAGACATGAAAACCTGTCGTAGGTGACAGCCCAACTTTAGCTCAATTTTGATAGGAATCCCCCCCCCGGAAACACTACCAATATGACCAACGACCCTAGGACTTAAGAGTCTGTCGGTGTAACATGCAGGCCATCTAAACTACCGGTACGCTAGCCGCGGGAAACATTCTCAAAAGGTTATAATGCCACATACAGAGGCTGTCGCTCATTTTTAGACGATTATGGTAGGGTAATAAAAATCGTTTGCTTAGACGTAATTGCAATTGTATGTTTTTAATCAAAAATCGTTGTGGCTGAAACTTTGTTTTATTCAAATGTTTTAAAGCATGTTAAGGCTGGCTTTACCTTCTTTTAGAAAAGCGAAAACTACAAAGCATGGTTTTGGTGATATTTAGCGTCGATAGAAATATCATAGAGAAAAAGCAAAAAAAACGTCATAGGTAAATCACGGATAGACCTCAAAATGGAACAAGGGGCCAAAAAATTAAAACAAGTATCCAAAAATTAATGTCGAATAGTTGATGAAATGTTCGAAAGCGAAAAAACTCAATGTGCATCGTCTTCTTCCAAAGCATATCGCTCAAAGCAGGACACACATTCTATATGAGAAACACTTATCCAAAGAAAAATGGAAAACAATTGTCACAATAGATGAAGCATGGGTGTATTTAAATGATTGTAACAAAAAAAGAGCCATTTATTATCATAAAAGGGGCGAAAAAATTTAAGTACATGGTTCAAAGAAAAGTTTTTCAAAGGGATTCATGATTGTTGCTGGTTTTTCTTATAATGGTAAATTAAAAATAAAGAGATTGCACAAAATGTCAAGATTAACTCCAAATACTCTCAGGAACATATTTTATTGCCAATTCTTCTGAATGAAATACCATCGCTTTACCCACAGTGCCATCCATCTGTGAGACTCCATCAGGACAAAGCTAGCAGTCACACATCAAAATCCACTGTAAATTTCCAAAGAAATGGAACAAAAATCTGGTATGA